TGTGCAGTCTAACCTTCTGTGAAAACATACTCATTACTTTTTGTATTCAGGACCTTTGAATATTTTTTATATACACATGATATTCAGGGTCAACCGGTTTGAGATGTTCTCCCGTGGATAAAAGCTTTTCATTGTCCTAATGCCTCTAAAACTTCCTTTTGCACAAACGCTTTTTTATTGTAGCTCTCAACTTAATTTTTAAGCTTTCAAAGCTGTAATATTATGAAATCTATATGAAGGTGAGCAGCATAGATTATCATCATCCTAGGCAAATCTTTTCTCATCTATAAACCATCAGGGGTGGGGATTATAACATTACCTTGTCAATAGAGAGATGATGAAAGAAGCCAAAGCACTGATTCCTATCTAATCAGGGTTCGGCACAAAATCTATGAGCTGCCACAGCTACGGACAACCTGCCAACTATGTTTAAATGGAGCTGGAGAGAGCTGAAGGTGCCAAGCCCAACTCAGTAGAAATGCAATCTGTTTATGCTCCATGACACTCTTATGTTTATGCAGACATAACTAAATACATGGCACCGCATAGACATGTTAGATATTATTGTTTACATCCAGAAATGTTGCACATGTGCACAACGCTGAGGACAATTTTTTTCACATGTAATCCATAGCTGCATCATGTTTCTGTTAACAAAATGAAACCTGGAGATTCAGGTATTATTCATTTAGTGCACAGCAAAGGGAAAATAACCCAGAAAAACCATTGAAAAATAATTCAGAACCACTATTTCTTTAATTAAAAGTTTATCCTGAGTTTGTTATCCAGTAATTAAATACCAAAGCGCTGTGTCCCTTTTATTGTATGTATATGCCATGTGTACATTTAAGATTTAGCACATTATTTTGGCAACAGGTAAAACCAAAGCAAGTCATCGTCTGTGAGCTGCAGGGAGACGAGGGCAGCATCCTGCGTGTGTGACGTCATGTTGCAACATGTCTGTAGCTTCATTCATTTCATTTTGTAAACTTTGCATAGGGAGAGTTGAACATTGGTGTAAAGAAGTTTGGCAGTTATACTGCTGTGTTGATAAATGGATTTGATACTTTAATATAGGCATCCACTGAGCAATAGCAGCCACAACAACAAAAAAATGGCCGGCACTCAGAGACAGAGAGACGAAACTAACAGATAATTTGCTCCTGTCCGGCCTGATCAGATCTTTCGCTGTCAGAGCAGCGGGCAGCTGATCACTCACAGGCCGCGATGGCTATCGTGGTTGACAGCCGCCACCCACGGGCCGATAGATGAGACAGATAACTGACAAGAGGCCTGCAAAAACCGAGAGCGAAACGGAATGGCGTAGCAGCCAGTTGGATGGGATCAGATCTTCGGTGGTGTTGGGAGTGAAGACGGCAGCGGCACTGACAAACTGCAGACACTGATGGGAGAAAAATTAGATGGGAAGATGATGAGGATGATGATGATGGATGGGAGCTATAACTGATCTGACTAACAGATCATTTAGGATGGAAAGAGGAGCATCATAACTTAGAATACAGTGGAGGAATGAATTAAAAGGGAGAAAGAGATTTGGAGATATTTATGCTTCAACTAGCAAATGAATCGGGTAAAATCTGCCAACAATAACAAGTTCTCCACAGAAGAAAGATAAATTAGATGACGCTTTTCAAAACGCTCTTTTTGTATGCCAAATTAAAATTTACATGAACAGTTGACTGTGCTCTTCTTAAATCTGACAGTTTTTGGTTTTCTGGCGATGGCTGGATTGTACTGATTGGTTCTTTTTCATCCAACCAAATGCAGTATTTGCAAGGAATCAAAATCAAATCAAATCAAATTTGATTTGTATAGCACATTTCAGCAGCAAGGCATTTCAAAGTGCTTTACATGACAAACACAATAACACAGTCATGCGACATAGAATCAACAATAAAACTACATGAAGTCAAGTGTCATAACAATGCAAATAAAACATTGTAATATTTAACGTGCAAAACTCAGTTAAACAAAATATTTAAGGTACCAAACTCAGTTAAACGTGATGTTTAACCTACAAAACTCAGCCAATGGACATTAACCTACTGGCTCCTTCAAATCTCTGTCAATAAACATTAACCTACTTTATGCAGGAATGTGAGACATAAACAGAAAACAGTGAAAAGGTTTTTCCAGCAGCAGAAATCACTTAGGTGTTTCCTTCTAAACCATTTTTGGGTTATGACCAGCAGGACTCTAACTCATGATTTCTTCCTAAATTAAAACACGATTTAATCTAAAATTATCAAAAATCCTTATTTAAAGGAAGTTGGAGCCACCAGATTTTTCCATTTGCATCTTCATTCAGCAGTTTGCTTGTGATGATTTGGGATGCTGTATTTGCCTTTTACTCCCTAATTACTCCCCAAAAACTGATTTTGTCTTCAAGAAACGCAGTTGTAAGAATCAGAGATGCACCTGCAACGTTCTGGTTGAAACTGGGCTGTTTTGATAAGTTTTAACTGGGTATAGTTAGAATCTGTTCGCTTCTGTTTTGTTTTTTTCTGCTTTAGCTCTCATCTCCCAATCTTCCTCTATTGTTCCCTCTGAATGAGCCAAAAAGAAATGAACAATACGCAATAACAAGATAATTTCTTTAAAGGATTTTTCTTTGGAATCATTTCAGCTCTAACATTTTCTGAAGATTTTATATTGCACCCTATTTTTAGTGGTTGTAGATCCAATTTCTGTGGATGGCTCACTGATGAAATACGACCCCAGTCGAGCCAAAATGAGTCGTACATCATCACATTTGTTTACGTTTGACTGTAAGTCGGAGTTCAGGGAAATTATGATCTGTCTGTTGATATCAATCACGTGTCTATCCCAATATATATTGATGTATTGTCCAGCTCCAAAATCCACAATTAGGCCATTTTTTTCCAAATATGTTGGAGTTTCCGCAGAAGTAAACTGTGATGTTTCTCTGTGATTCTATAAAACACAACTACTTGTCAAAATATGCTCAGCATGAGAAAATATTGTGTTTAATAAATCCAAGTCTTCAAGGCTTTGATATAAAGAAGTGTTTTCATTTTGAACCTGTTCAAAAATAATTTGGGCTCCCTTTGTGGAGTCTCTTTATCCAGTCTGACATATTTGCTTTTTAATTTGCCCCATTTGCTTTCTATTGTGATTCAAGACAAAGTTAAACAGAGCCAACTGAACCAACTTCTTTCTTACACATTATCCTCCAATTTACTCTGTGTAGGATTTTGACAACATATTTATGATTTTGGCAGCTCTACAAAGTAAAAACAAAGTGACTTTTAAAATGATCTCCCTCAACATGGATTTTTAAATGCTGCTTTGATGAAAGTGTACCTAAAAAAACCCAGTCATGTCAATCAAACGGGAGAAAAGCAGGCATCTAGCCATGAAGATAAGAAAAAGGTGTGAAGAAGATTGTGTTGGGTAGCACAAGTGTTAGAAAGTGAGACTGTGGGCGAGATATAGAGGGCAAAAGGGCAAAACTGTGGGAGAAACGAGATGGATAGACGGGCTGTCTGATTGCCATTTGGCGTTGGACAAATGGAAAAGAACCCGGCTGGGGTCAAATTACTGAGTCTGCCAATTCAGATCAACGGAGAGATTTCAGGAAAAACTTTTCATTGGATGCAGAAAACAACAGGTTCAAACTGTGGTGTGTATATTAAAAAAATGTTTAACAATTGCAATTCTGTAGAATCACAAGAGTGATCGAAGTAATCAGATTTTAACTTCCCTGATCAATAAAACTGTTGTGAAGCGAACTGCACCTGAGCTGCCCTTTCAGTGTAGACGTAAGACTATGTATCAACCCAAGTTTTCTCTCCATGCGGTTGTTTTGCTTTTTATTTTTAAGCAACACCTTAAAACTGCTGCTGTTGCTAGGCAACCACAGAACCAGTGAGTTGCTAGGCAACCAATGAGCGAAAACATTATTATTGGATGTTCTGTCAGATGTTTATTCATATTGATCACAATGTGTTCATGATTGTAAAGGTGAAGTTACCTGTGTTCTAACGAAACCCCGTTAAGGTCGTGTGCTTTTATTTTGGTGACTTTCTTGTTGAGGTAGCTATGGCAACAGGACACAGTTTAACCAGAAAAGGTTAAAACAAAAAAAAAGGTTGAAAATCAACTCAATGTTCGCTGCAGTCGATAACGGAACAAGGTAAATTGACAATGACTGAAGAATATTTGAATAATTTTAAATGTTTGAAGAAAAATCATATTGTTGTGTTGATGCACTGAGAGCTAATGCTTAACAATGGATGGTAAAATAACATAATTATTCTTTGTTCTCGTCTAGCACTTATGTTGGTTGATGAACGATGTGGATGTCTTTAATAAATCATCATTTAACCATCAGTTCTGGCCTTTTCAACGTTGTCTGATGCTACATGATTTATTGTCCAGCTCATGTGAAACAGTCAATTATTCCAATATCTCTGATATGTCATGGAGATAAACAGCTCAGAAATACAAACCAAACAATGTACTGGTTTTTGTAGTTTTTAAGACATTTGTTTATGTTCTGGCACATGGTTTTATCCAAAACACTCACAAATTAATATATACACTGCTGTTGATATCAAAACAATTAATAAATAGTTAGGAAGAAGGCTGGCGGTGCAGAAACTGAGCACCAACTTGGAGAGAAGTAAACAAAGAGACTTTCCTCATGTAGAGAGGGGAAGAAAGATAAACAGGTGCTTTAAGAATTAATTAATATGTAATAGCTTTTATAAATGCCTCATTTATTAATTTAATGTTCATCTTAATCGCACATAAAATTTATAATTTGACATTTTATTCATATTAGATGAGACTGGAAACTAAATTGAATCTAAAAACTACAGACCAAACTTAATTTGATTAATAATTATGACCAAATGATGTCAATAATGGATGTCTAAGAAAAAAAAGATGGTTTTCTTGCCTCGGAAACTGTTGAGAAAGCAAAAAAACAACAAGAAACATATCATGCTGCCTACCAGTGGGCAGGGCGGGATCCATGGTGGGTTTTTCCCAGGAGTTGACCTGTTCCCAAGTAAATCCGTTGGTTCCTAAAGACACGCTGTACCCACAGCTGCTGTAAGACTCCTCAAAAGTGCAGCCACCTAAGATAAAACACAAGGAAGAGTTTAAAAGATTACACTTCAGACATGACAAAGTGTGGCATAAACGGCCAATTAAACAAGGTTGGAAAAATCATAAGAGGAAAAAACAACAGACAGCTCAACCTATTTTCTTGCTTACTGATAATCAACAATTATAAATTTAGTTTTAGTCAATAATTCCAAAACAAAAAAGAAAATGATTTATGTGGACACTAATATCTACAAAATAAAGCAAAGATCTGCATAGTTTTACATTCTTAATCATTTTTACTGACAATGCTGCTGGGACTTAATTGAAAACAAGGAAAACTGTGACATTTATTCATTACAAGTTTTCTAAATATTTAAAATAAAAGATAAATGGCTGCCGCATTATGTCTCTTCAATCATTATATTGTCCTGTGTTGAAAAGGAATTTAAATACAAATGCTGACAAAAACTTCTATTTTCTAATATTTTTTCATACATTCAATTAACCTTAATAATTATGACTTTTTGATTTGATATTATACAGCCTTTAGCAACCAACTGGGTATTATTAACAATATAATGAAAATGAACTTCTCAGCAGGACCAAAACAAGCCAGTTTATCAGAGGCAGCAGAGGGAAAGACGGATGAAAGAAAGACTGAAGAAAGAAAGGATGAAGAAGAGAAAGCTTTATGTGTCAACATGATTAAGTCACAGAGTCTCATCATTATTTCATGGCCCAGCTAAAACGCATTTTCCGCTACATTAGTTTTTTCCGTTAGCCCCAGGGCGCCACATCCACCACATAAACACTCTAATTAGACATATGCTTTGACACAACCATTTTAATTTGGTCTGAAGTATCTGAAATGGGACAACCTCATTGGTTCACTCAAGTATATCTCTTAATCCCTTCTTCCTTTGTTTCTTGATTATGCTTTTAGTACTTTTCATTTAAACAGCCTACACCATGAGAAGGTTACTTTAGAGTAAAGTAAAATATTTTAAATAAGTGGAGCAGCCAATGATACATCAAGTTAAAGTCAAATATAATTGGTAGTATTGATTTTGAGTAGCTTGTAACCAGATAGGAACTAATTGTAAACACTGGCTTTGCTAAAGCGATACACCAACACAGTATAGCTAAAGCTAATGCTAACTTCATTTCCAATTCATATATCACTTTAACTTTGACATTATAACTTACTGTTCATATTATACAATACCCGCAGATATTGTATTTATGTCTATATTTTATGTATGTCTCTTGTTTGGAACAAATTAGGAAATTTACTAGGAAGAAAATAGAGATTAAATTGAGGAGCGGAAATGGAACTGCTGCGTAAACAGTTATCACCTCCTTCAAAATAAGAGCATGAATATGAATGTCTACTCCAAGAATTTAACAACCGACAACCATAAAGATAAAGATAAGTCAAACGTTATTCAACTAAAACTTTATAAATCAGACAAGTAAATTAGTACTTGTACAAAAAGTGATTTAAGGAAAGCTAAATGTGCCAAAACATTTGAACTAAAACGCAAATAGAAAAATAATGGCCAAATTTAAACTCTGTTCATGTGTATGAAACAAATAAGCTAAAAGCTCCTTATAAATCCAGGAGAATCCAGGAAAATCCAGATTTTGAGAACCAAAATCTTTCCTGATTTTGGTTCTTAGCTTCAGCCTCTTCCTGGATGATGTCTTTGTTCCTGTTTGGTTCTGATTCAGTGTGATATGTTTGTTCATAAAAAGGATTTATTAATCCGTAGATTAATAAATCTATTACACGCAGCAGATCTGTTCTGCTGATATTGAAGGACTCTGGGGACTTTCTGCCTGTACAATAACAGAACCTGAAAGCACCTGGCAGTAGTGAGCAGCATTTCTAACATAATATATTCGGCGACTCGCATCATAACCTTGGCAGCTGCAGCCATGGAGTAACAATTCTACCAAATATTATGTGGAAAAACATCTTTCACCTCTTTCAGCTGGACATAATAGTTCATAACAATTAGCAAAACTTCAATAGGAAGATGTGTTGTAGAAAATGTTGGGTTTTACTGCATTATCATTGCATCAGATTGTCACCTTGACTCATCATGTTTTACAGGTTCAGTTTGCAGTGAGCATTTTTGAGCTAAATGAAGAAACCTGGCCTTCAGGAGAAACGACTATACACTTAGAGGCAATATAGTTTGAATGAACTGTTACCAAGATTACGATTGTTCTCATTTCAGATTTTAGATATCCTGTTTGGAATTGGCCCAAATTGGACAATTTTTCTCTCTTGTAAAAATTTCTGATTCTTCAAACTCAAGTTGTTGCAGCATCTCTAAACTCCTGTGAAATTTCCAACTGTCTGTTTAAAACTCCCATGTCCTAGCACAGCAGATTAAAAAAAATAAAAAATCTGATGCAACCTCGATTTTCCCTCTTCAGGCAACACCAACTGAGAATTAAAATGAAACCAACCTGTCTTCTGTCTGCACCCGATTCACAGAAACAACCTCCAGCAAAGGGTGAAAGCTAATATAACATCTTTTTACTTAAATTTATGAAAATAGCAACTATAAATTAATCAATACTGAGATAATTAGGCTTCAGTGCCCCCTCGCTGCTCAGAAATCTCATTAGCAATGAAAAGAAATCAAAGCAATCTCATTAGAACAGAGCTGTAAACAGGGAAAGAGGGGACTGTGAGTAATCCATCAATATTCAATATCGGATCTGCAATTTTAAAATCATGATGAGAGGAAAGGCAACGTGAGGCAACTGTGTCTCCGTGCAACACTTCCTCTCCCTGCGCAAAAACATCATTACACACATTTTCAGCTTCACAAAACACAATTCTGCAACAGAAACGTAACATCTGCTGTATGTGTGAACGTCTGTGATGACAACAGTGGAAATATCGAGAGCTGCAGTGTGTTGAAGTGTAACTTTGAGAATGCATGCAAGTGGTAATGTTTTATAAGCCTGAAGCTTTGTATCTCAACTAACTATAAAAATGGCCAACTGATATCAACAACATATGAAAACTGGCAGGCAATCCATTCATTCATAATGCAAAATTGTTTTGACTGTTTCCGTAAACCTTATATTTAAAAAAAAAAGAAAAAGGAGTGTTATTCTTGTAACGACCCTATAAACCCAAATCCCTAAATTTAATGTTGAGAATAAAACTTTAAATATATATAATTATATGCAGAACTGAATATCTTCTGAATAAATACTGAATATAAATGTATTTTTGATTTTTTTTATAAGAAATTGTGAAACCACAGATAGAAGTCCATAAAAAAACCTCTCAACTTTCAAATGATTGTACTTATTAAATAACTATATTTTTCTGCTATATTATTATCATTATCAGGTGTTACTGAGGAACTCTGATTAAATGTTCCTGGTGTGGCATTCATCAGCTTCAACCTCAGAAAGTCAGTCAGGAAATAAGTTTTATGGCTCATAAAATGTGTCAGTTTAATGGGAAACAGTGTATGAATACATGAGATGTAAGTAATTCAAACACATTACAGGTTTCACTGTGAAAACAGAGTTTTGTCGTTCTATAATCGATATGTGAGGGAGATGCATTAGTTTGCATCTAATAGTCTGCAGCTGTGAATGAGTCAGTGGAGAAGCAGATCTTGTTTGAAAGTCTGAACATTTGCTTGTTTACTCGAAGTGCTTTCTGTGCAGCCGACTGGCTTAGAAACGCTTGTGTTTGTGGGCAGACAGAGCTCATCTTCTGTTCACAGTTCAAGTTTTTTCACCTGCAGGTTCTTTGGTTCCTTTTCACCACAAACAGATTTATTAACAATTAAGCATCAAACCATCAGTGTGGCATAAATTATCCACATAATACACAATACTGTCGGTTATTACTGACATTTAAAGAGCCCAGCATTACCAGAGAGATTAATTACGCAATTCATTTTTGTGCAGAATATCTGATTATAATATACGGTATTAATAAATTACTCAGAGTGATGGAGGAAATTAGACCCAGATGTGAAAATTCACATGCTCTGATCGAGTCAATGAAGGTCTTTTGCAAAACTTCCCTTTTCCCCATTAGGAGAAGGTAATTATTGCCAACAAATAATGGGACACAGTGGAACAACAAGGGCTGCTGTTGAGATGCAGTTTATTTTGTTGTCAAAAACCCTTTCAGCAGAACCTAATGAGCAGAAGGCCTTTTCCTTTCACTGTTAATGAAAGGCGATTTGATGCTAAATGTAAAACTTTGGATGCATTTTCACTGTGAAGGAGCCAGAGTGTAAGCTCTTAGTTAACACTGGATTATTTAGGGATTTTCTTCTTATTTAATTTCTCCACACCATTGATTAATAAGAAAATCAACAGGGACCTGAATTTGGTCAGCGGTTTTTGGGAATGAAAAATGACATGAGTAGCTGTGTTTGCATTAGAGATGTGTGAAAAACTTCGCTGATATCAAAAAACACTATTTTACAATTGCAAGGTTTCCATTAAAAAGAAATGCAATTAAAATCAGACATGAATAAGTTTATTCACTCAACAAGTCATTAAAACCATATCACTTCCTGTCGTCTTCTTTGTATTTTACGCCAGTGGCAACATCCGGCTGCTGATCATGTGACTCGTGTGATTCTTGAAATAAATAAAATCTGTAATCAGTGGGGGAAAACTGTAACACGCTTTACACAAGAGCAACATGCACTCAGTCACATTCACAAATATTTATGCACAAAAGCCAATCGTTTTATACACAAAAGATTGGCAGGAAAAGTTGTCAATCAGTGCATTGCTCAGGACACATCAACATTTCACAGGAAGAAACTGGAATTGAACCTTCAACCATGCAAGATACACAAACCTTTACTGGAAAAAATGTTAAACTTGTAGCTTTAGTAATTTAATTCTGGCAATATATAACTACACTTTAAATGTAGTTAAAAAAAAATAAGCCAAAAAAACTCCAATTAATAATTAGTTTGAAAACCTACAATAAAAAACAAAGGAGGGAAAGACAATAGTGTCA